GAACTTATGGGAAAAGAGGTTTGAAGGTGGGAGCTCATAGCCAAAAGAAACACACCTAACAACTCAACTTAACATCCTAAAGAGACATTCCAAGTAGCATGAGCACACTCTCTTATCACACTCTCTTATCACACTCTAGCTTCTCTAGGCCTATCAACACACTCTTATGCCTTTAAGTAAGATGCAATACTTTTCAATTTACAAGTCTTTAAACCAGCTCTCACATTAGTTAACACACACACACACAAAGTGAATTCTTACAAATGGGCAAATGATTGAGATCATTTGGATAGGCAAGCAAAAGTTCTAATGAGAATGAAAAGGAGGGTTTAAATACATCAATTTTTTAGTGACTATCACTCAAGAACAAGGAGCATAATCATTATGCAAAATTTATCTAAGACTAGAGGCAACTCATGCATACATAGTCTTATTCTCATCATTCTACCCTTTTCCTATGTGATCACAAGTTCTAACCCTTTCTTTTTCATCCCATGACCCAAATAAACTTTTACTCACATCACTCACCAATGAACAAATTTCTTTCACTCTTTTATTTTATTTTATTTTATTGATATCACCAAATGGGAACCTATCACACACTTTCTACTCTTAGCTCTTCTTTTCTATCTCTTTTTTTTTTATTGATAAAGTTTTCTTTAGGTACATTCTAGAGCTTTTCTTCAATTGGTTTGGTTCCTAATGGCTTTCTTTCTTTTCTCAAGGTACACTTTGTTTCAACTTTCTCATGATCTCTCATTCAAAACCCAAGATATTAACTTTAGAACACATAAACCCACCCACCATCCTAGATGCTAGCTTAAAAGAGGCTCCTATGCTAGCAAGAGATGAGAACAATCCTATGTCACCTCCAATATTCTCAAGATTTTGCACATGAAAAGCTATCAAAAGAAGGCCTCACTCATGCAAATTAAATGTTTGGTCTCAAAAGAATGGCTTGGGTTCAAATTAAGGGTGAGGAGTACCATTTGGGTTAACAAAAGAGTGGTAAAATGGAATAAGATAACCCAAATGTGTATGAGATCCATGATCAAGTATGCAAGTGCCCATATGAAAGAGAGATTAAGTTCATTAAGCCAAATTTCAGATTGGAGCTGGTTTTAAGAACAATGTCGATTTAAAGCAAGCAAACATGTTTCAAGTGTGCAAAATTTTCAAGAGATGCTTAAGCTACTTGATATGTCTAACTAGGGTGTCACTTTGAGCTCTTGACAAGTGTTCTTTACAAGGTGTTTCAAAATGGCTACCAATGCATATGAATGCAAGCTATATGCTCTAGACTCTCCTAGAAATGCAAGTGATGCAACCTACATGATTTTTTTTTTTGGTTTTCAAAATTTTCAATGTTTTTGTTTTTTCTATGCATATAAGTATGTAATGCATTGCATGAGGCTCATGACAAGAAAACAAAACAAAACACAATGTGAGACAGTAGACTCTCCCCCAAACTTACTTCACACAGTCCCTTGTGTGAGAGTAAACTTGGAAGAGAGATCAAAAGAGAGATAAAATATGAATGAACTAAATATTTACAAAGCTAAGGATGCACTTACTTGGAGTTAGTGAGAAGGAGGGTCATTCCCACCTTCAAGAGTGATGGTGGCTCTTGCACTGGAGAACGGCTTAGACCTTCCCTTGCATTTGATCTTGTACTCAATGGCACCATGAGCAGATTTTGTTGCTCCACTTACCCCCTCCTTTTGAGCACTTCCCAAGTGCTCTACACACAACTCTTGGGAAGACTTGCCAGCAAGATCTTCTTTCTCAGTTACAGCCACTTCAGCTTGGGTTTTCTCAATGGATGTGTCTTCAGAAGTGATTGTTCCACAATACCCAGCATCCATTGGGGACTGGATTGGGTAAGAGACAGCCTTGTTCACATTGAGGAGTGTGACCCTCTTGTTTGNCTTCCCAAGTGCTCTACACACAACTCTTGGGAAGACTTGCCAGCAAGATCTTCTTTCTCAGTTACAGCCACTTCAGCTTGGGTTTTCTCAATGGATGTGTCTTCAGAAGTGATTGTTCCACAATACCCAGCATCCATTGGGGACTGGATTGGGTAAGAGACAGCCTTGTTCACATTGAGGAGTGTGACCCTCTTGTTTGAGAAGTCAATACATGCTCCCACTGTTGTGAGGAATGGAGTGCCAAAGATCAAAGGAACTCTCTTCTCAGTTGCCATCTTCAGGACTGTGAGGTCTATAGGGATTGTGCATTCTCCAATCTTCAAAGGGTTGTAAAAGATGAATCCCCAAACATGAGAGAAGATGTGTTTGGCTCTATGCTTTCAATACCAAGACTCTTCACCATTTCCATTGAGATCACATTGACATTGGCACCAGTATCCACAAGAGCATCATTCATGGTGATTTTACCAAGGGAGCAAGACAGAGTGAACTTCCCTTGTGACTCTAGCTTAGGGAGAGACTTTGGAGGGACTTGTGGATCAATCAGTGATGTAGAGATGTCTAGAAGCTCTGCTACTTTTTCTTTGTGAGCTAGAATGTCCTTGATGAGCATCATTTGGACATAGGCCTCTTGCATTGTATTAAGCTCTGAAAGTTTAACTCCAATCACTCAAATCATTCCTGAACTTGGAGATCACCTTCTTTTGAGCTTTATTGATGATCCTTTTTGGAAATGGGAGCTTGTCATAAGGAGACATCTCAGCTCTGACTCCAACTAGCTGCACAACCTTTTCCTCAACCTTCTCTACAAGCTGAGCATCAGCCTTGGCTACAATTTGTCTCTCATCCTGCACAAGTTCAGATTCGTAGAAGAGTCTTTCAATCTCATCTACCTCTTTCTCATGATCATTCAANGAGTAGATGTAGAAGTGTTAGCTTGTTGTTGAGAAGGTTGGTTTCCCTTGTTGGTGAAGCCAGGAGGTGGGTTTTGCTGAGGCTGATAGCTGCCTTGCTGGTTGTTCATTTGCTGGTATCCTCCTTGTGGGTAGTTGTTGTAGTGAAAATTGGGTTCCTTCTTGTACAAACTACCATTGTTGTTTATGAAACACAACTCCAGGATGCCCGAACAGGATGGATATGCCTCTGGTAAATTGGTCATAACTCCTTCATTACATCTTCAAACGACTTGAAATCACTTCCATTGGAAAGCTAACTCAATTTTCTGTGTCTCCAAAAAATATTAGAAACAGAAGATTTCTTTAAAGGCTCCATCCATGCTCATCTTTCAGCCCCTTTTGGATCACAATGCTCCTAAACATCTCAAACCACTCCATGGCACATTCCAACACCTAATAAGGACAATGAATTCAAAATGCAACCTAGACATGGCTAAATCCTGATCTATATGATGAAAATGCTCATGGATGAATGGGTAAAACAATGCAAATATGCAAGATATCATCCTTATATTTCTGCCGGCATAAAGACACTTTGTTGTTATCAAAGTATCCCTCGGGATGGCAATTATGCTTCATCTAAAGAAGAAGCCCAAGTAAACTAAACATCAGAACATAAAACATAAAAATAATACAGAAACACACAAATAACATAAATGTTGTATCTATGTACCTGAATCTTGTGATCTTTGAGTAAAGGATGATCAATCTATGCACCTGAATCTTGTGATCTTTGAGTAAAGGATGATCAAAAGCTGGTTGCATTGTGATAGGAACACATGCAATTACATCTCCTTCAATGGTTTGTTAATCACATCCAAATGTTTTAAACTTTCGTTAGATAAACCATTTTTAAATAAAAAAATCTCGACTCAGTTATAACTTATTGTTCAATCAGAACAAAAATAAACAAAATCAAAAGGTAAAACAAATAGAAACCGGATTATGATACTTACCAAAATCAGCCCAGGCAAAAAATACTCAAAAAGAATAAGATAATAGAGTTATCTCACCTGAATACTCTTGACAATTTTGATAATGAAGGCATGAACAAATTGGTCTACGGTGAACGGACTATTAGGGATGAAAATTTTGATAATCAAAACATGATCAACGTAGACCCTGATAATTTTGATAATCAAAACATGATCAAAGCTATGCGTGACCCCAATAAAGAATAAAATAAAAATAAAAAACTGTGACTCCAGAATTATCTTTGCGTCCAGAAGGAGAAGAAAGAAAAAAAAAATAAAAAACGACATAGTGAAGCCGAAATTATCTTTGTGTCCAAAAGGAGAAGAAAGAACTGAGGCATTTCACGGGTCAAACATAGCTTTATATAGTTAAAGTTTTTGGTGAAAGCAGTAAATGAGGAAGCAGTGAAGGATAGATCGACAATAGTTGATGACTGCGTTGAAGACGACCCTTCATCTAACCGCAAAACGTTTTCAATTTTTCTTATAGGAAGATGAAGAGAATCATTGATAAGGGGTTCGGTGAAAATCTTACTGGAGACAGTGGAGTCTCCTAGAATGGACCAAAAACAATATATAACCCATAAATAATTAATTTGCTAAACCCAAATAATAATCCAATAAAAGCACTTAGGAATTGATTGCATTATAACGTAATAAAACGCAGCGATTTGAATGTAGAGAACACTTGTCATGTTGAGGATAAATGAATTAGTGACATAACATCAGAGGAGGGATGAAAACCCTTATTTATATAATAAAATACTTATTTACAAAATAATAAATACCGAGCAAATTTTAAAATTGAAACATCATATCAAAACAAATAAATGATTTAATGTAACACAATATAAGAGAATTTTATTTTGAACTTTAATTTTTAAGTTAAAATCATTCTATTTCAAAATTATCAATGTTTTGAGATTTTTTTTTAAAAAAAGACATATTTTAAAACATTTTCAATATATTTTTATCAGGTAATAATAGTAAATTTAGAACTTTTTGAATCAAAACTTTACATTTCTCCACATGCTTTGATTCTCAAAAACTTGGCTCTGAATCCAACTTTTCGATTCAACCATATTTTAAATTTTTTTCTTAAAAGTTTCCACAAAGATATGATTTTTTTTTAGGTTTTGGTGTTAAATTCGCTCTACAGCTTTCCTGGCTACAATAGGATTTCCTGCAACAGAGTACAAACTAGATTTGGAGAAGAGGGGGGCGGCAGAAAACTAATGACCGATTATTAAAAGTTTTTGTTTGTCAATTATTATACCTTCTCCAGCTAGTCTCAAAGAAACACGGAATATATTCGCAATAAATTCTGTCATCCCCTCCTCCCTTGATGATGATAGCTTGGGGGAATGAACCTTAAAGACATTTACAAGATTTTCAACAAGACCAAGACTAGCGTGTAGATAATCTCTACAGAGACAGCCCCAGAGCGCCCAGCAGAAAAAGTTTTTGGCCAGCGACCAGATAGCGATCTCTGTAGCTTCTCTGGCTAAATCAGTATTTCCTATAGATAGCAATGGTAGAAGCAGATTACATACGAAGAAAACTCTTAAGGAGGATGGATTCAAGGTTGTGTTTGTTACTAATAATACCTTCGTCGTCAGCTACTACCAAAGATAGAGTGAATACACATTGAATGAATTCACTCATTGCGTCGGGTGGAGGTGATGATGATGGTAATTTGAGGGAATGCTTATTCCATTTCTCTAGAAGCGTCTTCAGAAGAACAACACTAGCTGCTCGATTCTCTTTGGATATGTTGTACCAGAGCCTCCAGCAAACATAGTAGTCTTCGGTCAGAGACCAGAAAGCCATTTCTGCAGCCTCCTTGGCTAAAACAGGATTTCCTGCAACAATGGATGGTAAAAAGGTTTACAAAACTCAATTTGAGATACTCAAATCGATTTTTTACTTATATACCTTCTTCTCCAGCTAATCTCAAAGAAACAGTGAATATCTGCTGAATGATTGCCTTCCTTTTTAGTGCACCCGCAAGAGCCACTCTCTTCAAAGAGCCATAAATTTTCACAAACCTTGTTTTATCCTGTGTGAATGCTTGTGATCAGAATCGATAAACGTGCATCCTCAAAAGCTTCTTTTTTTTTAACTTAAAAGTTGCAACAATACGATTATACGACTTACCATTACTGTTGGGGAGGTAGGAGAGAATTTAAGCCGCAGCAAGTTGTCAAATGAAGAAGGTGGTATCAGCAACTGTTTCCCCCAAACAGGATGATTTTCAAGTTTGGTCAGAGCCCCTGGTTTCTCCAAAATTCTGATAAGAAAATTGCATGAATCAGATGTGATTATATATATATATGGCAGAGGAAGGAAACGTTTAAGTTACATGTCGACCAATTTGAGGATGAGACAGTTGCAGTGGAGGTCGGTAATGAGTAGTGGTAACAAGTAGCGCACCCATGAATACAAACCTACATGCAAATCACTTTGGCAGGCCTGCCCCCGCCCACGTTTTATAGTTGTTGGATAACATTCAGAATACGCAAAACTTGGTCCTAGTTCTCACATAAAGAAAGAAGGAGGGATCACACACAAACCTGTTTTATCATCCAAACTGTAAGTGAAAAAGCCTTGTTCCCCTGAGACGGTAATTCACTTCTCAGAACATCAGGTTTGCTACGCATTATCAATGCTAACACAGCAAATATCGACTTCTAAAAACAAAAAACAAAAAGGGTCACACACCATAATAAATCAGGTGAGTAGAGAATCCTTTAGAATTACTTTAGAATAGTGAGGAGAGAAGAATCCTTGGTGCGTCCAAGTGGAGGGAAGCTCAGAATCGGAAATGCAACCAAAGGACCACACTACAAATTCAGATAATGTTTCATCTGGAATTTCTCGACTGATCCAACTGACTAAGTCTGTGTAGACTGGTTCAGGAATACGAGGTACCTAAATAAAAAGAAGATGAATCAGAAGCTTCAAGAATCTAGTTTGATTATAAAAATGCTCACATCCAGGTTAGGCGAGAGAGGCTGGTCGAATATATCATCACACGGAAATGGTTCTTGGGAAAGTATAGAGTCAAACGCAGCCAATAATCTCACCACATTCGGCAATTCATGCTAAATACAACACAGCAAAAAAAAAAAGTGTTAAATTTTTACTTTTACATTTGTATGAAAGTGAAGTTAACATAGCATGCATGTCCTTTACCTCTGCTTGGTTGAGGGAAGCCATAAGGTGTGAAAATTCTATCATTACCGACGACTTCTCCTCTCTTTTTGTGGAACAAATTTGTTTCAAAATACAATATTATTCTTAAGATATTAAAGCAAGCATTTTAACACAAGAATTATATCTTACACTTCATAATCTCTAGTAGAATCTGTGGGCTGGATGTCTAAACCAAAAGCCCATTAACTGGGTTACATTATAACAGGCCGCGAGTTTACAGATGGGCCAAGCCGGTTACTTAATATAAATAAACGGTTTGGGAAGTTCGTTAAGGGAAGTTACAGATCGAAACAGAGGAAGAAATACAGAGGAAAAGGGTCTTCTTCTCCGGCGATCTTCTTGGCGTTCCGCGGCAGTTTCAGCAAGGTCAAAGCTCCGATTCCGATCGTCTCCGTGTTCGGTATCACCTCGGTACCTAAATACATATAAACAAGTAGTGATTAGTCTTGTTTCTAGCTTAAGGTTGTAATCCACCACCGGGGAGTTTCCGGTGAACTGAGCTAGTGGAAAGAGAGCTCCGCCTCTCCCCAGACGTAGCGGGTAGTAACCGTGAACTGGGTAAACAAATTCTCGTGTGTCTTTACTTTTATAGCACGACAAGATCAAACAAATCCAAATCAAATCAACTTTGAATCTCAACAAGTGGTATCAGAGCTGTGGTTAGCTCCGCAGTTTCAAGATTCAAGAAGCGATTACATTCAAGAAGATTACGTCTACAGCAAGTAAGAAAGATCAGGTCAAGGTTCGAAACTTATCTGTTGTTTCCGTGTGTTTTGTTGAAGGCGTGCAAGCTTGGTGAGTGTTGTAGCATTCTTGGGAATTCTTGGTGTAGATCTCCATTGTTGTTACTGCGTTTCTGATCAAAACTGCAGACATCATGGAACCTACAAAAGGTAAATTTGAAGTTGATAAGTTTGATGGACAAGGTGATTTCGGTATTTGGAAGCACAAGATGCTGTGTGCTCTGGAGATCTTGGGTTTGGATTCAGTGCTTGAGGAAGAAGTACCTGAAACGGAAGACGAAGAAGCAGATGTGAAGGTTGATGCTTTAAGGCCTCAGAAGGATAAGCGTGTGAGGAGCTTAATCCAAATGAGCTTAAGCGATCAGATTATCAGGAAGGTAATGAAGGAAACTACAGCTCTTGGTATTTGGAAAGCTTTGGAGAGGGACTATCAAACGAAGTCTTTACCTAACCGTATCTACCTAAAGCAGAGATTTGCTAGTTACAAGATGGAAAGTGACAAAAGCATTGAGCAGAACTTAGATATCTTTCTAAGATTGGTAAATGACCTAGAGAGCTTAGATATTAAGATCTCAGAAGAGGATCAGGCAATTCAAATTCTCACAGGTTTGCCTCCTAAGTATGAGCCTCTAGTTCATACGCTGAAGTATGGGAGTGGGAAGGATACTCTCACGGTTAATGATGTGGTGACTTCAGCATACGCAAAGGAAACTGAGCTGAGGGAACGTGGCTCTACGGGTAAGAACAAGACTGAGGCAGAGGGTTTATACGTGAGTGAAAGAGGTAGAGGTGAGCGGAGGAATAACTACAGTTCAAGGAACCGTTCTAAAAGCAGAGGAAGGAGCTACTCTAACAACTCTAAGCCTAAGGAAAACAGAAGCAACAAAGGAGGTTGTTTTATCTGCGGCAAAGAAGGACATTGGAAACCTGAGTGTCCAGAGAGAGGAAAGAATCGACCTTCGAGTTCAGCTAATGTGGCGTCAGTTAGAAAGGATCCTCTAATTCTAACAGCTAGCTTACAGGAAACAAGAAATGAGTGGGTAATGGACTCAGGAGCAAGTTTTCACATTACTCCGAATCAGGAAGTGTTGTTTGATCTTAAGGAAAGCAAAGGTGGGAAGGTTCTTATGGGTAACAACACATTTAGTGAGATAATGGGAGTTGGAAAGATTCGTATTAAGAGACCAGATGGAGCTATTGTGGTACTTACAGACGTTAAGTATATGCCTACAATGGGAAGAAATCTTATTTCTTATGGTTGTTTGGAAAAGGCTGGATGCAACTACGTTGGTGGTGACTACTCAGTTAAGTTCTACAAGAATGGTTCAGAGGTTTTGTCTGGGAAGTATACAGATGGTTTGTACTACTTAGAAGGAACCGTTCTACAGGGAGAAAGTAACTTAGCAGAAACTACGGTTGATTCTACAAAGAAGTGGCACTCAAGGTTTGGTCATATCAGTCAGAAAGGGTTAGAGAACTTGGTTAAGTCTGGTTACTTGGACAGCAAGGATATTAAGAAGTTAGAATTCTGTGAAAACTGCGTGTTTGGAAAAGCTCACAAACAGAGTTTCAAGAAAGGGAAGCACACTTCTAAAGGGATTTTGGACTACGTACACTCAGACTTATGGGGATCTCCTACCGTGATACCTAGTCTTGCAGAAAAGCAGTATTTTATTACATTCATTGATGACTACTCTCGGAAGGTATGGATCTATTTTCTTAAGACAAAGGATGAGGCATTTGATAAGTTCCAGGAGTGGAAAGCTGAGGTTGAGACTGAGACTGGTAAGAAGCTAAAATGTTTAAGAACAGATAACGGGTTGGAATATTGCAACAACAGATTTGACAGTCATTGCAAAGAGTTTGGGATTAAAAGGCACAGAACATGCGCCTATACTCCTCAACAAAATGGCGTTTCAGAAAGGATGAATCGAACCATAATGGAGAAAGTACGGTGTATGTTAGCTGAGAGTGGAATGGAGAAAAGGTTTTGGGCAGAGGCTGCGTCTACGGCTGTCTACCTTATTAACAGGTCACCTAGTTCAGCTATCGACTACAAGCTACCTGAGGAATTGTGGTCAGGATCTAAACCAGGAGTTAAACATCTAAGGAGGTTTGGTTCAGCAGCCTACGTTCATTTAACTCGAGCAAAGACAAGTCCTCGGGCTATTAAAGGCTACTTCGTAGGTTACCCTCAAGGAACTAAAGGGTTCAGGGTATGGTTACCAGAGGAAGAAAAGTGCACTGTTAGTAGGAATGTTATCTTTCATGAAGAAGAGGTTTTCAAGGATAGTCTAAAGGAAGAGGTGCCTAAGGAGCAGAAGGTTGAATCTTATCAGGATAAAGGCAAAGGTCTACTAAAGGAGGATAAGAGGAAGGTGACGTTCAGCACAGATCTGGTTAGAGGACCATCTACGGGTAGAAATGATTCGGAAGCGTCTACGTCTAATTCACAGGTTACAGATAGTAGAGGTTCAGGTGGAGTTGTTTCAGATTCAGAGGAAAGTGTGTCAGTTCAGGGTCAGGAAACTGAAGAGGAAACTACAGGGTCTGAGCAACAGGATTTGGATAATTACATCTTAGCCAGAGACAGAGTTCGCAGGGAAAGTAAGATGCCATCCAAATATGATGATTACGATGTTGTGGCTTACGCTTTGACAGCAGCACAGGACATCGAAATTGATGAACCTAAGAGCTATCAGGAGGCAATGAGGTCTAAAGAATGGGAACTATGGAACACAACGAGTAGAGAGGAGATGGATTCTCTGGATAAGAATGAGACTTGGGTTTTAGTCAAGCGGCCAGAGAAAAAGAGAGTTATTGGTTGTAAGTGGGTCTACAAGAAGAAACCGGGTATTCCAGGGGTTGAGCTACCTAGGTACAAAGGCAGGTTAGTTGCTAAAGGTTACTCTCAGGTTGAGGGAGTTGACTACAATGAAGTTTTCGCACCAGTGGTTAAGCATGTGTCTATAAGGTTCATCCTATCCTTAGTGGTTAATGAAGGTTTATGTCTAGAACAACTAGATGTAAAAACGGCATTCCTAAATGGTACTCTAGAGGAAGAGATTTTTATGGAACAACCTGAGGGATTTAAAGCTAAGGGTAAGGAAGATTTGGTGTGCTTATTAAAGAAGTCGCTATATGGTTTGAAGCAGTCACCTAGGCAGTGGAATAAAAGGTTTGATGGATTCATGAAAGATCAGGGTTTCAGGCAGAGTCCGTATGATCAGTGTGTCTACATAAGTGGTTCAGATCTATCTACAAGGGTTTATCTTCTAATCTACGTTGATGATATGTTGGTTGTTTCTAAGAGTATGGAGGTGGTTCAGAATCTTAAGAACAGACTAAACAGTGAGTTTGAGATGAAGGATCTAGGAGCAGCTACAAGAATCTTAGGAATGGATATTCAAAGGAATCCTAAGGAAGGTACTCTTAAGCTGTCTCAAGGAAAGTACCTGAATCAGGTTCTTTCAACTTTCAACATGAGTGATTCTAAGGCAGTGACTACACCGTTGGGTTCTCATTTTAGACTAAAGGGTTTGGACGAGAAGGAAACTAAGGTTGAAGCTCCATACATGATTGATGTTCCTTACGCAAGCGCAGTGGGAAGTCTCATGTATGCCATGGTCGGTTCTAGACCAGACATAGCTCATGCAGTTGGAGTGGTTAGCAGGTTTATGGGAAATCCAGGAAGGGAGCATTGGGAAGCAGTTAAATGGATTCTACGGTATATCAGAGGGACTACTAACTACGGATTATGGTTTAAAAGGGGTAATGGTTTTAAAGTTGAAGGGTTTTGTGACGCAGATTATGCAACAGATCTCGACAGGAGGAGATCTGTTACAGGTTATTTGTTTCAAGTCGGAGGTAATACAATTAGTTGGAGATCGGGGCTCCAACCTATAGTGGCTTTATCAACTACAGAATCAGAATATATGTCTTTAAATGAATCAGCAAAAGAAGCATTATGGTTCAAAGGTTTATGTGAAGATTTAGGCTACAATCAAGGTGCAGTTCAGATTAATTGTGATTCACAGTCAGCTATTTTCTTAGCGAAAAATGGAGGTTATCATGAACGAACTAAGCATATACATACGAAATACAATTTTATTCGTGATGTGATTGCTAACGGTTCAGTTTCAGCGGTGAAGATTCATACGTCTATCAACCTAGCAGATATCCTAACTAAGTCGGTACCTGGAAGGACACTGGAGAAGGCCTTGGTGTCCATCAAGGTTCTTGACTAGTTGCGTCGTATCTCCGCTGTGAGTGTAGCTTTGATATTTTGTACCTCGCAGCAAAAGGAGAAGAGAGAGGTTAGTAAGCAGAGGAGTTACTAATCGATGTTGAAAATATCTACATGCATGTGAAGGTTTTGGTAAAGATTTCGACATGCATGTGTGTTCTGGATCAGATCTGAGTTAGTTTTGAGTTTACCTGAAGGTTCGGTTCAGGTTGTGTTGGTGTCGAGTTTTTTCGAATCATCGGCCGTCTTCGGTGTGAGTTGGTAAGGTTCGGAGGTCAGACGGGTTCAGAAGGACAGATCGGGTTCAGTAGCGGTTCGTTGAGTTGTCAGAAGGTTCGGAGAGAGGTTCTGGGTTTCTGTCACTTGAGGATTCAGAGAGGTTCTGAGGTTCGAGGTGGAGGCTACAGAGATTAGTTTCAAGGTGGAGTGGTTTTGGGTTCGATTCATCGGTGGAAGTGATCGGATCTAAGAGAGAGAGGCGGTGAGACGAAGAGAGAGGCTGGAGAGAAATGTGGACAGAGCTTCGCCTAGGGTTTCGATGTTTTGTCGGAAATGAGGCTTTCGATTAAGACATAGGTGGAGTTTGTGGGCTGGATGTCTAAACCAAAAGCCCATTAACTGGGTTACATTATAACAGGCCGCGAGTTTACAGATGGGCCAAGCCGGTTACTTAATATAAATAAACGGTTTGGGAAGTTCGTTAAGGGAAGTTACAGATCGAAACAGAGGAAGAAATACAGAGGAAAAGGGTCTTCTTCTCCGGCGATCTTCTTGGCGTTCCGCGGCGGTTTCAGCAAGGTCAAAGCTCCGATTCCGATCGTCTCCGTGTTCGGTATCACCTCGGTACCTGAATACATATAAACAAGTAGTGATTAGTCTTGTTTCTAGCTTAAGGTTGTAATCCACCACCGGGGAGTTTCCGGTGAACTGAGCTAGTGGAAAGAGAGCTCCGCCTCTCCCCAGACGTAGCGGGTAGTAACCGTGAACTGGGTAAACAAATTCTCGTGTGTCTTTACTTTTATAGCACGACAAGATCAAACAAATCCAAATCAAATCAACTTTGAATCTCAACAGAATCCGTCATCTGATCATGGTCCAATCTGCGACCATCATCTGATAAAGGAAAGGAAGGTTGCCTAGAAACCGCCGATAGATTAACCTGCTCCTTTTTCCCGCCACAATCTCCCAATACCTTCCGTATCATCTCTGAAAACTCTGCTGAAACAAACTGCTCCACTTTATTATTATTTGCCCTAGGGTTAATCATGCTCTAATGTTTTTAGCATAATAAACCATACAAAAATAAACCAATAGTTGACCCGGTGGAAAAGGGTCGGGTAAGGGCCCAAACTCAAAACTATAAAGCTGATACGTAAAAAGACACATTTGCCTGAGGCAGAAGGAAAGAGAGGAGTAACCCTAATCCCAATCATGCCGGCGAATCTGCGAACCCTAGTTGCCAAGGTAAATCCGTGTCTTAATCTTTCCCCCTTTTTTCCCATTCTTGTTTATGAGATTTTGTTTCACAGTGCCGTGGAGGGATGGACGCTCTCTGCAGATTCTCTTCAAGCGCTGGTAATTTCTACTCCTCAAATCTATGTAACAGCAGCTCTGCTAGTTTTCTATTCGATTTTCTGATCAAATTTTTGTATTTTCTTCCACATTGATTGAATTCTCGCTTTTGATACGATCATTCTTTTCAATTTTGGTTTCCTGAGAGGCTGTTCCTCTTCGAATTTCTGAGAAAAGTTTACATTTTTTTTCCTCTTTGTTTGTATCCATTTCGCAAGTTGAAATACTTGTCTCGCTCTGTTATAAATATTATTTGATATTCACCAAATCGTGATTGTTGAGTTTCTAATCATTATTTTGTTCGATCTTTCTTACTAGGATTTGAAATGATTGGTTGTTAGTTGATTGATAGATTGTTAGATTTTTTTTTAAAGCATTCTTTCCTTTTGCAGCTGCGAACGCTCCTGAGATTAAGACTTTGCTGTTGGAGGAGATTAAACACCCTAATCTGTTCGTATGTGCAGCGCTTGGATATGGCTGTTACGCCTCTTGGGGTATTATTTTGATCTTATTCTCATTTTTTCAGTTTTTTGTTTTTTGTTTTTTTCGATATCAGAACTAATCAAATTTGTGTTTGCTTTTTTTTTTTTTTTCCAACAGAACTCATTCGACTCTATGAATATCGCCGCACGCTGTGGAGAAATATGGTAGAGGAAGTCATCGCTACTTGGTCTTCGGAAACCAAAAGCTAACAATGTTAAATTCTCTCTAGTTTCACGTTTTCATGTAAATCTTTGTAGTAGATAATGCTTGCTTTTGAAAAATTAAAAAGAAGGTTAAATTAATGTATGGTTGGCAGCTGCTTAGTGTTTAGTTTTTGGTGCTGTTTTGGTGATAATTAGGAATCGTATCCCCTTTTTAACGGTTCGGATCCGATTAAACCTCCATCGAACACATACATGTTGCTACTTCTAAGATCAAATCTAAATTGGTACAGGTAGCTGCATTTCTCGTTAGTCCAGAAAATAAATCCCGGGCTTTGATCGTAACCGAATGAGTAAAAAACATTTGATGCACACGACTCTATCTTCTGGGAGCATAAGAAAACTTTGGGATTGGAGTGAAGGAACTGATTTTTGTTCAAGCACAAAGGGGGCCGAGATCGATGGCAAAGCTCTTGCATGGAAGGCTTTTCCTTAGAACTAATATTTTTTTCAGATAGCTTTTTGTCTGGTTTTGAGTGAACACACAGACGAAGAATAATATTAAGAACCAATGGAATTTCTCACTTATGAGAGGAGATTGTCACAACTTCTTAGTAAATATTTGGGTTCTGATCAGTCATAGCAACATGCATGATCCCTGAAAGTTACAAACCATTTCAAAACAAGGAAGCTGCCAAAGAGTACTCCTCAAAGGGGATTCAATGGAGTTAAGTTTAGAGTCCATTAACACGCCTTCATCCACAAGCTCTCTTTAGAAAGTGACTCGCGCAAGATAAAGAGAAACAAGGCAGCATATAACCCAGAAACAAGGAAAGCAATCAGACCAGCATGATAGCTTGAGCCCTACCTAGTATCAAAGGCATGTATGCAACCTACATATCTATCTCTTTTCATTTTTAGACACCATCATCACGTTTTCCCTACTTTAACGTGATGATTTTTTTTACAGGATATTTACCCATATAAAAGACAAAAACCCAGCTATGGACTCGAAGAGAATTGCCGAATTTAAAGTCGTTCTTGCTCATTCAATGGACTGTCTAGCAGCTGTTCCATTACTCATAAACTCCAGCGTCAAATTCAAACAATTAAGGTTTCTTCCTACAACTTTGTCAAGTATTATGTTCATTTGAGTGTCAAATTCACAAATGGAATTGGAGATTGAAAGAGTTTCAACTGTCTCAATATCCCGCTTATCGATCTTTTTGCTACCCGGATTTTTGAGGATTCACCTAGTCTCCCGGAGTAACATAGACAGTTATAAGCCGTTCTCTTTCGTTTGACGGGTGCACTAGCCTCAGTCGGCTTTCCACCCCTCTTCAAACCCTTTTCACTAGAGTATTGCAACGTCTTTTTAAACTATTTGAAACTCTTCCAAACTATGGTTTCAAGGATTCAAGGGAATATTATCCGTGTATTCTCTATTTCGAGTTAGTCTCTCCTTTTAAACTTTTATCCTATGTTTTATTGTCGTAATGTTATTGTTGTTCATCTTACCGTTGAGCTTACCTCCGGTTGTAATGTTTGAAACACTTTAGTCTTGAATTAATGAAAATTTGTGTTAAAAAAAAGACGAAAACCCATAAGTACCCTATATATATCATTATGTTGTCTTTCACAATAAAAAAAATTAATATTGCTCCTATCTAGCTAGGTAAGTAGTTTCTCATCACTTTCCTAATTTCCTAATCCAAAGCTAACTTTACAAAGTAAAAAGTAAAAACCTTATCTTTAAGCCCTCCCTCTATATAAACTACATGCATGTTCCTCCCTTGTTAATTTTTATTTGTGCACCAATTAATAACACGCATGTCTCGTGAAAGCCTTCTTCTCTCTTCCGCTGAGAAACCAAATCCTTCTAAAGAAACTCTTCCCTCTTCTTCTTCCTCTTCAGCGTTAGGAAAAAACGGAATGCCGACTCGCAAACTCGAAATCACGGCCATATCAGCGGAAGGTCTCCTCGACGGCAGAAAACCGGTGAAGAAGAACGTCTTCGTAGCCTTCGAAATCGCCGAGAATCAATGCAACGGGGCGATTGTGAGAACGAGGGTGGACGAGGTGGGTGGGGATTATCCGGTGTGGGAAGATAAGCTAGAGATGGAGTTCTCGTTACCTTCCTCGTCGGAGAAGAAGAAGAAAGAGAGTTTCATGTACGTTAGGGTTTGTCGACAGGTCTCTGGCGGCGGGGGCTCGGGGAAAGATAAGCACGTGGGGACGGCACGTGTGCCTGTGAAGGATTTTATGGGAGGATATGCGCCTGAGGGTTTCTTGCATTGTTTGAGTTACAGGTTGTGGGATGAATACGGGAAGAGGAACGGTGTTGTTAATTTCTCGGCGAGGATCGTGACGGATAAAAAGGGCGGTGGTGAGCGTTCGTTTTGGTTGAGGTAGTTTTTTAAAAAATTAGGGTTTTAGGATAATCTTTTTTTTTACATAACGAATTGGTTTGTTTTGGTTTCATCTGGTTTGTATGTTTCGATCAGTCTTAACTGAAACAAATTTGATTAGTCTAAAAAACTATACATATTCCCCTAATGAAATCGGGACTAGATTTTAGAATTCGTTTGTTGAAAACTGTGTCTTCTCTCTCAGCTATATGATACATTTACCTAATTGATGTTGTGTAATATCAAATCAAATTAAGAGGAAGATGATCATCATAACAAGCGATTCATCTAATTACTCTTTAGGATGAAAGAAAGAGGTGTTAGTTTTACCCTGTATACTTTTGGACATATAGTTCTTAATTAATCACCATAGTACTAAACCAACATATATGTTGGTAGCTCAAGATCATAATGTGAATATTCAACTTAAACCCCAGAGAGATTCAGTTAGAGTCAGCAATCAAAACCAATCTTGGAATTCTTAATTAACAAATCAGCATCACATATATATCTCTTCTTTCTTGAGAGAGAGAGAGAGAGAGAGCAGTCAGGGAGTGATGCTGGGCTTGGTGAAAGC